GGGAACCCTTGTCGCATTGATAGAGTAAGTTCATTACAGTTATATATAATATAAACAATGTATATTACAAATGATATATGTTATTGGTCTAAGTAATGTGTAATATATTAGCCAGTTAAATAGGTTATAAAGTCTATTTTGTCCATGAGCATTGTTATATAAAGTCAATGAAATCAGTAAATATATTGTGAAATAAATCATAAGTATGAAATATGATTAATAATAAATGATAAATGTAATTATACAGATAATGATATGAAACCTTGTAATAGGTACAGTGTAATGTTTTAGTAACAAGGTGGTGTCTACTGCATGTTGTCTTATACGTTCGTTATTGTGTTCTTGTAGGGTGTAAGATCCTTCCAGCTAGTCTGAGGTCCACAAATGGAATAATTAAAAGAATGGAAACCAAGAACGTGTTTGTTGTAACGCCTCTGCCCAAATCCCATCCCTGTTTCATATACGGTCCCCCTTTCCAGTAGGAAGTCTTTAAGGACTGCGACGTCAAACGGTGTCGCCTACTTCGTCTTTATGCATTGCTGAGCCTCTGCAAAGAAATCGGCATTTCTGGTCCCGAAATTCGAAGCCATTTTGGCAGACGACAACAATGAAGTGAAAGTAGAATATGTACAGCGCCCTCTGGAGAAGGGGCGCAACTCTTAGCGTCACGCTACTTTTCCCGCAGTCTCAGCGGTCCAATAAAAAAGGTATAGTGCCCGTCTTTAAGTATAGTTACCGTTGTCAAGGGCGGATGCTAACTATACCAAATAGAACCACGGACTTAGATAACCTTATCTAATTCCGTGGTAGAACAAGGGTAGTTATCCAATAGCTATCCTAGAAATTATCATGTGATGTACTAAATCTCAATAATGCCCTCGTTGTTCCGTATCAATAACTTGACCATGTTTGCCGTGATTTTGCCGATGTTGACTTGGATAGTTCGAACTACTTTTTACTCGGCTTAATTTCGTGTAATTCGAACAGGATTGACAATATTTATTTAATTTTGTTCGAACTTACCAAATGTTTACCGTAACAATTAAATCTCGCCTTGATTTTACATCCAAAGTAGTAAGGAGTATATAGAGGACTAGTGGAGTATCACTACTGACACCTGTTAAGGATTTGCTCTTCTGAGGTTTAAATCATGTTCTGGTACAACAGGATTCTATTAATTTAACAACATATGACCACTTATAAAAGCAAGCATGCAACGGAAAAACGTATCAAAATAACTTGAAACCTATTGCTAGCAAGAATTTCAAAAGAAAATATTAAAATGACAAAGAGCTATGGCGGGTTGCTATGCCTATTTCCCCAAACGCTATGATCCGCTATAGTGCGCGCTTCCAACCGTGCACTGTTGTGACGCGTCCTCATGTATTTCTATAAAGGTAGCTCAATCGGAATCCCGTGTCTAAGAATAGATTATTATAAACAGACGAATTCAAGGCAATGGCTAGTAATACATGCGTTTCACGATAAAGACTCAACAAAATGCGTTTTTCGCGTTGTGCTGTATAAAACACAAGATCGTACAATCATTACCAACAGTTTGAAAGGATTTAGTTTTCATTACTACTGCCTACGTCATGCCGTTACATGTTTTCTTAAAAACACACATCTTGCTTTTATTCTTCCTTTACCTTGGAATGATAAAAATACATATAGTTTTCGAATAGCATGTCTTACACGTGTATTGCGCTCATAACTTTGTGCTGCAGTCTTCCTGCATTTAAAACAAATGAGACTGGCCTCGACGATGAATTTTCCAGCATGTTCGGTATTATCTATGCGATAATAACACTTTCATTGTTTTGCTTTGCCTTTTTTTATTTTAACTCTGACGCAACAATCCCATATATTTTGTATTTCGGCATCGTTTGTTTGCGTTAAGATAATAAATAAAAATACTAGTGCCAATTGGAGGGTAAAACAATTCATAAATATTTAAAACGATGTCTCAACTAAAAAGCGTAGCTGTAATGTACATTCAATATAGAAGATAAATCAATTGGTATGTTATTACACTATCAATAAAATGTTCTATTGATTTGAAAAATATTTATCACTTAATAAGGAAAATGATCACATGCATAAATATTTTAAAAAAAAGATATAGTGTATCCGAATGTGGATTCGAACCTTCACTGTTCACATTTTCTGGTTACAAGCTAACTGCGTTACACATTAGGCTGCATCGGATATAGACAAAAATGGAAATACAAACTGCTTTAACCCAATAACATCTGTCGCAGTTTTAAAAACTTGATCAACCCAGTTTTTCATTATTTTGAGCACTTTCCCAAAGGAGGACCACTTTTCCGTCATACGATTTGTTTTTGCATATTACATCATGGAATCAAAAAATTTATTCAAAAGTTGGTCCTCGGATGGGAAAGTATTGAAAGTATCTTTTTAAGTCGGGGAAACCCCTTCACTTTCATAGATATAGTGAATATGGCTATATTTGCAGTATTATATTAACAATACCGAATATCTCAACAGTTCAAAAATTCATATTCAATTGGTTTTATATCTATTCCATGCATTTTTGCTACTAAAGATTATTTACTCATCAATATTTTTTTCCGTTTTCAAAAATGCCAATTTCCTAAGCTCCAGGCAATGTAAAAATTTCACCCTTTTTAACACTTGATTAAACACTGCAATTGTAATCGCGTTGCCATTTGTAATTGCAGAAAGCAGAGACGTATATATTACATACAATACGTCTCTGCAGAAAGTTATTATTTTTCTGTACATCTTTATAACGTTCAACATAATAACAACTATCAAAAAGTGTGTAAGTTTTATAAGAATTGGTCGAGAAATTAATTCTGTAAAGCAATGACAGCTTAATTCATATCTAGCTGCGATAACGTAGCTGCGATAACGTTCATTTAGTACAGTAGCCTTCTGACGACGAGAATTATTTTTACACGATGGGATAACGTTAACATGTACTATATAGGCACAATTGTTATATTGTAAAAACATGTGGTATTTTACTGGATTGTTTGTTATGAAGCATGATATTTTGATACATTGATCAATAATAGTCACTGACTGTAGTGTGACAGTAGGCCTAGTTTAAATGTTGTTAATATCTTGAGTTGTCAAGCACATGTTTTTAAACAATGTCCATTCAAACGATATTTAATCTTATTCAAGTGTTTCCCAATGTTCAATACGGTTTTCATTCAAATGTAAATACCTTTACTATCTTGATTAACCGTTCGTCCAGAACCGTCCGGAGAGAGCGAGAAAGGTAATGTTTTTGCAGAGAGCGTGTTCGCTGCTAGTGTGTGTGAATGTTGCCATTTTGTGAACTCTCGTGACCACTTGAACTATGTCAGTCGGCCGGGTCATTTGAGTGTTTATTCTATAAGAATCGTTGGAAATATCATTATGGGGTCCTCCTTAAAAGCGTCTTCAACCGACAACAAGCGTTTTCAATCGTGGTTTACATACGCCCCTCAGCAACTATTTTGTCTTGTGATCAGGTATTAATTGTTGCGTCATTTGTTTGTGAGAGTAACGTCATCAATTTTTGAGAAAACGACGTAATTTTCTCACAAAAACCAATGACGTAACAATCAATACCTGATCACAAGAGAAGATAACTCTGCAATACGCTAAGACGGAATAAGTTGCATTTTGGTTTCACAATGCTGATATGCAAGGACGCATATGATTAGTTGTCAAGTTTAACGCGTTAGTATTTAACGTGATAGCATTTAATGCGTTAACACTATTTTTAACGTGTTAAATTGTTGTTTAACGCGCTAAATCCTTGTTTAACGCGTTAAATGATGTTTTAACGCGTTAAATGCTAACGCGTTAGTTTATCTCGTTTTTGACATGAACGGCCTTTCATACTTAATAAACGGTTACCGTAAAGGTGTGCGTAAACTTATCCTATGTTTTCTAGTTCTTAAGTTCCTTAGATCTAGTCAGTCATTCGGTACTGGTTTGGAAATACCATATAATTTCCGGATTAGCAAAAGCTACGCTCTTTTTCGGTTTTGCCTTTTGCTATTTTTTGAATGATATGTTCCGTACGCAGAGACAAAATCCAATAGAAATACAAATGAAGCAACGTTTTTCATCGTAATAAATTCAACTTACTGCCTATTAATTTAAAACGTTTGCGTTTTCATTATGGATGCGACGGGAATTTTCCGAGTGCATCCAAATTTCGGCCTCGCATTAAACTATTACTATAAAGCGCGTGACTAGAATAATCTGAATCTAGATTTCATTTCTTCTAACAAGCACTAATAGCTTATTTGAAGAATACTGGTTTTTTTCCTTAGCTATTTTATTTGGGATTTCTTCCTTTTTAAATAAGATGTCGATACTTTTCTTTGACCAAATTGTATCAACTAGTGTCTCTATTATTCAATGAATGTATAAAATAATTACATTGGCTGTCATATGCACATAAAAACATATGTTTGGGCAGTTGTTTATATAAAATAAGACCTGACCTTATTGTCTCTTTTTTGTAAATAAAATGTTATGTCGTTTAGTAATGAATGTTCAAGCAATATACGTTTCATTCATATTGTCATATATATATATATATTCATTTGAACATATCTTTGAAGACAATACCGTTTTTATAGATATTCTTGTGTGTTACGACGCGCTCTAGTCCCACCTTCCACAACTCAACGACGGGGCAAAGTTTAACATTTAGCTTCAACACAATATATGGACATAATTGTTATATGTTACAAGAACAGAAGAATATTCGGAAATCTAAGGGCCTTATCTGTTTACATTCATTCCCATTTTGTTTTGGGAAAACTACGCATGACGATATATCCATACGGTTCCTAGAGAAAAACACGTCCTTTTATATTTTAAGATGACAATATAAGTGATAGTAAGAATATAATATGCATCTCAATATAAAAGGATTTGTTGTTATTTTTAGATTATCTTCGATAATGTATAATAGTGATCGTTTGAAAACAACCATAGCCTACCTTGGTCGTCTGGGTTCCCCTGCAGTTTGTTGATTTCCTCAGCACACTTCTGCACAATTGAACACACTTGCGGATGTATGCAACTGATTTTAGATACAAATCTTTGGTACTTTCCATAACCAATTGTTTCATAATTCATTAGACGTTGGAAGAGCTGTCGGATGTTTGTAATTTTAGATATATCGACCGATGACAGTGGGTTATTGCTAAATAGTTCTTTTACTTCCTCCAATTGTTCTCCGAAAATTTCTCGACTGATGTCGAATACCATTTTGTTATGGAGAATGCGAACCTCGGTACTCAGATTTGACGCCATGATGAAATGTTTCTTTGTATTCTGAAACGAAAAAGATATAATATCATAACAATTTTTAGATTTAGCACCGTTGAAAAACAAGTGTTACAGCAAAAATAAAGTTGATAGATATATTTTGTGTCACAACATGACATTTTTCCCTCAAACTAAACCGATCAATCAAAAAGTCGGATTTTAAGTGCAAAAATATTATAAACAAAGGACATTGTCAACTGTGATATTTTAATAGCCTGAAAGATTTTATATGGTGAAGCCTAGCTATAAATATCTTTTAGATTGTGTCAAATGTGGGTTTTTTGTTGAAATATTGTCAATATAAAACCGAGTAGCACAAAAACAAGGGTACAACTAAAAACGATAACAATAGGCACAGGGGAGAAACGAAAAACAAATTGGAAACCATAAGCACTCGGTGGTGACCCCAGGTGTCCTAGGAGCAAGCGTTACCTTCACTGATATTCCGTCCACCATGCATTATTGTTGAATTAAACACCAAAATATCGACATTTCCACCATAGGAATTATAATATATAAAGAAATAGGAGAGGAGTCGACAGCCTAAATGGGTGTTATTCTACATGCTAGTAAACATTAAAATTCAAAGTTCAACACATCTTTGTTATATTATTAAATAGTATCAGGGTTTGCATTATTAATTAAATGCTATTTTAGTGAAACATGTCGATCGATTACGGAAATGCATTATTGAAACAAATTGTGCTCTCGCTAATTCTACTAAATGCTGAATGTTTAAAACCAAAAAATTTCAATACAATCTTGAACATATTGCTTTGTCTTAAATATAATCTCCTTTATTTTTGTGTACAGAAATATTTGTAATGTTATATTTTTGCGTATGGCATTTGTTGATCTTTGTGAAATTGACTTTGAGAACACTTGCTAGACGTATGAAGTAAGCAAGCATGCACGCAAGCACCTATTCATACATTTAGTCGATGCAAAATGCCTAACAACATATGATTTTTCTTGTTAGATTTATTGTTATATAATTGCACAAAAACTATGTTTTATATATTTCACCCGTGTGAAATACGTATGTGACATTAAACACGGGACAAGAACAGATGCTTTGTCACCGTTGCACATACCTAATGAAAATTAAGCTATTGTGTAAAGACTGAACGCAAACCACAACTTACAGTGAGTTTTGTACCTGATACTACTTTACACTTGTGTTTTTTGTATTAATTTTCTCTGATTATTATCAGAGAGAAACAGCCATAATCGAATAAGTAGTTGACTGCCTTATTTATAGAATCGCTATCGTACACATTATGTGTTTACACATGATGAGTGTTTCTGTAAAGAAAGAAAAACGTTGGATTCAAAAAAACACATATAGATACAATACATTTATATTGTTTTCATACAGTTTTTAATTCATATTACACACTATGTAAATCCTATTCATTAGTTTACCTTTATAATGTTTATATTTGTGTATGTCATGCAACATTTTTATTGAAGTAAGCTCTTCAAAGAAAAACAACAGCATTGGGCGTTATAGTTAAGTTAGCGTGACTACTATTGGCTAATGAATATCTTCAAATAGGTCAGAATAGTATTACAATTATACATGATACAGACAATGACGTTTCCCGGTAGTATTATTAAAACCAAAACGTAATGAAATATTCTTGAAATAATAGCCTCACATTCTGCGAAGTTGATATATCTCTGGTCCATGCACCAAATTTCGATAAGAAAACTGAACAATAACATTCAACCACCGTTTGAAAAATCGCTTCAAATCAGTTTAAAAGCCTAAAGGAGCCTAATAGTTCATAATGTCACGAGAAATGTTTAGAATGTGCGCTGGTGCGCAATGGGTCTTCCATTGTTCTTATTTGCTCATCAACTAAATTCTCATAGAACTTATAGAATTACAAGTTAATCAAATAACACCAGAACCCAAAACGATCCAAGGTACATACAATAACATGTACGTTGAAAGGATGTGACCTAATTGTGTCTTTATAAAACCCTATTTCACGCTAGCACAAGCGAATAAGTCGGTTTACTCAACACAATGGAATTCTCTATTCAAGGGACCGAAGAAAACATTCATAACATCTCAAATAACTTTGTCAATGTTAGGGTCGTAGTAAAATATTGGTTTAGAAGTAGGCCAAATATTGTGTATATATATGTATGGATATGTTCACAGATTTTCGGTATGCCTTCACCATGTTTTAGGGCGGTGCAGGATTTAATGTTTGTTTATGATTCTCCACTGATAGATAGGTGTACAATAAATGCATACGTGTGTTTGTGCTGGATGTAAAGGACTAATAAATGTATGTATCGGATATTTGGCACAAGTAGGTAGGCGTACAGCAGCCATCAAAGTACAATGTGAGTGTATTACGGTAGTACATGATAAACTTTATATTTGTTTATAGTCATTCGTTCTTTTGTATATGTGTACAGTTAATTATGCTAATAATTCCATACAGGTCTTTGGGTTAAATGAACATGAACATATATTTACATATAATGAAAGAATAGGGAAACGCAGGGTAAACATTTGAGGTAATATAATGTTATGTATTTGAATGTTACTGTAAATACAATGTTTTATATTAAGTATAAAAAGGGCGTCTTAAATAAACAATCACCAGAACTTCATTAGATTATGACCGATTATTCATGAGTAATTGAAGAACATTTGACAGAACCCCCTCCCCCTCCCCAATATTGCAACATGAATTCGCCCGACTCAGTATCTCTCGTATGCCCCCTAGCGCATCTGTCACAGCCCTGAATATCTTGGAGTCAATCAGTGCCTTTCTAACGGGGGTATTGACCACACTTCTAATAAGGCAGCCCTTAATTGGTTCATCGAGAGTAGCGGGGGCATTCCGACGCCCCCTTATCCTCCTGTCAAATTAGTCCCAGAAATGTTCGATTGCTGACAAATTTGGACGGTACGGCTGCCAGCCGAGTTGGGTAATATTATGGTTTTATGGTCTTGACAAACTCTGGCTACACCGCCGGATATTATCATGCTGGAAACTTAGGTGATGCTGTTGCAAAACTGGAACTGCAACCGGGCAGAGGAATCATCCTTATATCTTACGGCTGTTAAATTTCCGGCTACCACAATCAATGGTGACTTAAATTCCTCCCAAGACCATAATCGAACCTCCCCGAAACCTATCCCTCTCAAATAGGCAAGTGTCGGCAAAACGTTCCCTATGACGTCGGTATACACGACGTCGACCGTCAGGACAAAAAAAAAAGAGTAAACCAAGACTCATCTTTGAAAAAGACACGTCTCCATTGCCTCATCGGAAATCATCTGGGAACATGTGCCGCCAACCAAGCGATACGACGCGCCCGACGTACACGAGTGAGAGGCAGACCAACGGAAGGACGACGATCTCGCAGACCAACCACGCGCAATCGGTTCCTTACAGGTTTTGGGTGAATGTGGTGAATGATTGCTTACCGTATTAATAGCGGTTTCAGAGGCAGTAACGTGGCAATTTCACGGGTGGGCAAGACAAATATCCCTGTCTTATTGTCGCGTCGCTACGCGCAGACGTCCCGATCGCGATCAGTCAGACACCTTTCTGTTGTCTCACAGACGACGGACAAGACATTCTATGATTGAAACATTCACACCGAACTGCAAAGCAACATTGTATTGCCTTTGACCTTACCTTAATAATGCAATAGCCTGACCCCTCTAGTTTTTCCATCAGCTGTGCCATGATTGCAAGATATTCAACTTAACAGTAAATAGCGGAAGCGATGTGTATACCTTAAGGAATATCAAGTGGTATTAACAGATATGTTGACGAACTTGTCATACTTATTCTGCACGTTTTTTTTGTTTTTTTGTTTGGTTTTTTTTTGCTTCATTTTAACACTTTCACTATGTGGCACGGTACCTTGGAGGGTTTAGTAACTTTAGACACCAGTTTGAGTGCACAGTGAACAAGATACTCGTCTGTTCGGTTTCCATAACTTTATGTCAAGCTGTTAAATAATTGTTGCATATTTTGTTACCATGCGCTTCTTATCCTTTCAGTATATATGTTTATATGTGTAGGGGCATTTGTACTAGTAGGTAGGCGTAGAATAAACATACAAGCTAGTCTGTATGGTGGTACACGGTTAAATATATCTACATGGATGTTTACGGTCATTTGTACTGATACATTCAGTGAGATCATCTTGAACGAGTTTTTAATAACGCCAATTGGCAAAAGTTAGTTAATCATTTGAAGATCGTTCATAACTGACTGACATTCATCCCAGATAAACACTTAAGTTGTTCTTTCTAGGGTGTTTCCATTTTTAAAAGTATCATCGACAAAACTTAATTCCTGCATCCGCCAGCTGGTTCGGGTATATTTGGGATACTTGTTCTGGTAAGTAGGCGTTCAATATTACTGTCAGTACGGGGGATACAGGCCTCGTAATATTCATGAGAAGGAGCGTTTGTAGCATTTACGTTAACTTTTGTTATTCGTGAAAAGACAAGTATAGCAGATATGTTTGTTTTCATCTAAAAAGCGTATTGGGGGAAAACACGAGATATACATGTAGTAAATTAAGGGAGTTTTCGGGACGATACCCTAAACATGTGGTGTGTTTCTAATGTTTGGCAATAAGAGGAATCCAGAACACTTTAGCGTCCTACTCACGGATTGGTCTGTTAAATCATCATTTTAAAAGATCTATCAGAGTACATGACTATATAAAGTAGGCGGTGGCTAGAAACGGGTATTTTGTTACAAAGGTAAAACCTACGTATCTTTCTTCATTATGTCGGAAATGTATCCGAGTGTAAACACACTCTGTCGCGCCAAATGGTTGTTATTGCATAAATGAAGTATTGCGATAGATACTGCACAATCATTTGACTNTGTGACCTTGAAAGTAGGTCAAGGTCATTTTCATTCTCAAACTTTGTTGGGCTCTATCACAGGAAGCCATCAGCCAAATATGAAGAGTGGTTTGTACTTACCCAAGGAAACTTTACTTT